CTTCGAGAATTACCGTGAAGAATTGCTTGACAGCCTCGTAGTTCTCAAGTGACGTTTGGTCATCGTTGGTGGTGATATTCCCATCGGTCGCGTAGGAATATCCTACGCCGGCAGGAGATTCAATATATACAACTGAGGCCATCTAGAATTGAAAAGATTCCATTTCTAAGATTTTTAGGACAACGGAGGTTGTTCCAGAGAAGGAATGCACCTACCTTATTCCAAGAATAAGGATTTTCCCGAAGACTCTTTCCGTCAGCATTTGCCACATACGGTCCCATTTCATTGAGAAGGCCGTCCAGTGATGAGCATCCTGGACCGCCATTGAACCAGAAGATTAGCGGATCGCTTGTAGGATCATTCTGAGACTCAACAAACCTGAAAAGCCAAAAGTAGCAGTGTTATTGTGGAAAGAGATCAAAGGGTTCAAAAGTCTTCATGTACAAAGGCAGCCTACCAATAATGGAGAAGGTGAGTATCGGAGACTTGGAAAAAGCCGGAGTAGTGCTTGAAGGTGAGCTCGAAGTTGACCCCAGGCAACTGCTTGATCTCCTGTGCCTGGCACAAGGCAAAAAGACAGATGAGACCAGTCCACAACATCACTCGACTGATTGGATGTGAGAAGGAGGCACTCATTGTTCGAAGAGGCGGAGCTCCAGGAGTCCGCCTTGATTGATACCCCGTCGCGGGTGGTCAGAGTTGTGAGGGCATAAAACCCTGGGGTACTTCCGATTATAAGTCAAAAATACGCTGCTCTGTGCCTAGGACGCACCACGGGAAAACAGCTGTTTCAAGGGTCTAGGTGGTGTGCGGGTAACGAAATTGTGAAGTCCCTGAAGTACATGGCGTCCTTCTCGCCCATGCTTTGATCCGACAATGTACAGAACTTGCAGAAAAGGGAAGGAGAGCATGTGCCTATTGGGGAACATTAAAATTTTATCGGCAAGTCGCTGTTCATAAACGAGGAGAGCCCTGTTTCACCAATCCCTCAAAATATTAGGAAAGAAATCTAATTGAGCATTGAATTTTCATTTTTCTATATTTCGCCCTGAAAAACTTCAGCTCCACCACAGTTCCTAAACAACTTCACCATTCAAGGCCAGGACTTTGTAAAGATTTAACTCTTTATCTTCGTCTTCCGATAACGGGTTGTATGAGATGGAATTCGAATGTGGATCTGAATTTGGATGCTTCTGACCAAAATACCTTTAGAAGAGAGGTTTTGTTCTCAGTACATTGAAGCAGCTTCAGCGCTCGGGTAATGTAGTCAAAAAAAAAATGAGAGATATTTCATTCATTGATTGTATTTTGCTCGTCCCTTAAACCCCTTCCATGGCTATGGCAGGGGATGATCCTAGGAATGGACAGGACAGGACCAAG